AGTCTAACCCAATGCAAAACACTCGTGAAATGGCCCTGAAATTGCATGTCTCTCACGAAACAATACGTAAACATCTAAGGAGTATGGGAAACTCCATAAAGAAGGTGTTTGAATGCCTCACGAACTCTCCGATGATCATCGTTTTCAACGTGTGAACGTTGCTTCGTGTCTTCTGGCGCGTAATGCGCGTGAACCATTTTTGGACAGAATTTTCACCTGTGATGAAAAATGGATTCTCTATGAGAATAATAAACGCCAAAAACAATGGCTCAGTCCTAGACAAAAACCACTTCCAACCCCGAAACCTGGACTCCGTTCGCAGAAAGTGATGCTTTGCTTTTGGTGGGATATCAAAGGAGTAATTCATTTAGAACTCCTAAATCCACAGCGAACTGTCAATGCAGAGATCTATAGTCGGCAAAATCAACCCCTTCATCAGAAATGCCTTTCACTCGTCAATCGGAAAGGTGTTCTTTTTCTCCACAACATTGCACGTCCACATGTGTCAAATCTGACGCACACAAACCTATGGAGTTGGGTTGGGAAGTTCTCCCCCACCCACCATATTCTCCAGATATGGCACCATCAGATTACCATCTTTTTCGTTCGCTGCAAGAGGACATCGACACGTTTTTGAGTCAAAGCCAAGTGATTTCTTTAATCAGAGCATTAACAACCTGATTGTAAGATAGAAAAGCATCATCGACGATAAGAATAGAGACTATTTCATTTAATAAATGTTTTGTTTTGATATATAAGTTGTTCGGGTTTTTTCATCTAAAAAAGCAAATTAATTTCTTAACGACCTAATACTTTCTATTTCTAATTTAATTTAATTTTATCATTTTATTATAATAATTATTCATCATTAGCTTAAGTCTTCCGGTCGGACGTACAATACAAAAATCCGGGGTTCGATTCCCCGCAGTGAGCACAGCAGATAGCCCAATGTGGCTTTGTACTAAAACAAACACACTGTTAGCTTAATGTTTGGATTCAGGACAACCTAAGCCTCCTGGGCCAGCCAAACCTCTTTAGACATTATTGAGTTTCTGATCGTAAATATAATTAACAATGAGGGTATCCAAATGATGAAACGATGCTTGCTTGTTGAATTTCGTGCAAAGCACTATCTACACTAGAAGTGACAGACCTCAATTTTTAGGCTACTCTTTGCCAATGAAAAGTGGGATTGACTGTTATATTATAACGCTCCCATGGCTGAAAGGACAAGTATGTTTAGTGAAGCGATTGGAAACCGCGATCCGCACATTTCAAGTCGAGCGCCCTAAACATTAGGCCACGCCAAATCAAAACGATGCATTATAATCATTATATGTAACGTATTTGAAACATTATAAGTGGTGGAGGTTATGTTTTCACCCCTATGTGTGTGTTTGTCAGCTAAATTTCTCTAAATCGGTTGAATGGATCTGAACGAAAGTTAATATACACTTGGATTATGACCATTGATCATTATGTGATATAGTTTAATCGTTATAAGTGATATAGGTTGATCATTATGTGATATAATTTAATCGTTATAGGTGATATAGGTTGGTCATTATGTGATATAGTTTGATCATTATAAGTGATATGGTTTGATCATTATGTGATATAGTTTAATCATTATATGTGATATAGGATGATCATTATGTGATACAATTTAATCGTTATAAGTGATATAAGTTGATCATTATAAACGATATTGTTTGATCATTATATGCGATATAGTTTGATCATTATAGATGATATAATTTGATCATTTTAAGTTATTCACATTGAACATTATATTTAATTAGTCATGTTTAGTTCTGATCTATTTAGGTAGCTTGCTTTGATCAGAAGTTAATATTAATTCTCTAGTCGGTTTTAAAGTGGATAGAGAACCACCAAAAATCGAAATAATATTTAAGCCTACAGTTTCAGATGTTCCCCAGTGACTGACTTGTAACTTGTAACTCTGGACTTATGACGCTAAAATTCGGATTTCAATATTGGTGGTGGGCACAGCACAAAGAGCTCATTGTGTAGTTTTGTGTTTAACAAACAGTTTTAGATAAAATGAACCTGTTTAAAGTCTATAAATTCAGAGTGCATGAAAAACTTACCAACCAATAATCCCGATTCCAGAAAGTGTAAAGGAACGGCCTAAATCGAACACAACCCACGAACTATACTTATTTGGTGTAATCCAGATTGAGCACGGATCACCTAGAGAGATATAAATATTAACACGAAAATAATAAACTAAACAGAAAACAATTCCATTTGAAACATAGAAACAGTGCTGCCAGGAGATTTATTTTGAGTTAAACTCCAGTAACAGCTGTCTTACCATTCTATTCATAATTCACTTTTCTAGTACTTCAAGTTTCTTATAGTTTATCTGGTATTAACTTTCTACTATATTAACCAGAAAATGTCACTGAAATTTAGAATTTTATTTCTATAGTTCTGGTTTTAATTTACAAAATATATAAAAAAAACAGATATTCATTATATTAAAACATGATTAGCTTATTTGATTGTCTTTAACAAGTGTTTCATAAAAGTTTCTGGTTTTTCAGACTCAGAAACTAAGTAGAAAAACTACAAACTACCGATAGTAAAATCTAGCAGAAGGTTTTTCATTAAAGCCATTTTTTACCAAGCACGTTGCCCCCCCCCCCCAGTGGCATAGCGGTATGTCTGTGGACTTACAACGCTAGAATCCGGGTTTTGATACCCGTGGTGGGCAGAACACAGATAGCCCATTGTTAGCTTTGTGCTTAATCGCAAACAAACCAAGCACGTTATTTTAAAGCACTTTATAAAAACAAACAAACTCGAACCAGAATTAGATATAACAGCCCATTTATGTGTAAATTAAATTATGAGGGTTTTAACAGCAATAAGTATTATAAATCGCAAAATTTTAAACAATCTTAATAATAAATCTTCTATTTTGCCTATTTTTTTAAACTGAAATGTTTCTTCAATTGTCCTAAAGGTTTTAAGATTCTAACACTCTTAAAAGAAGAATCAGCAACAAAGAAACTTCTCTAGGATTTCTGAATAGAATAGGGTACTATATCTTCAACAGTAGAGTTGCTCCCATGTTTTTAAGAACATTTTCTATGGTTCCTGATAAAATTTCTGGGAAAATTTTGTATAGCAAGATATTTAAAGTAACTATCAAAGCATCCCCAGTTTTTGTGAAAAAACAAAATAAAAATGATGAAAAAAACCAAGTGCTTTATATGTCAGAGTGCACTGTTCTCCATCTGTTTCACTTCTGAAGAAGGAGAGACCATTCTTTTAATGTACTTGAACTAGAGTTTTTTTTGTTTCCAATACTGAGGTATGACACTTTCTAATTAAGATGGGATATACTGACAATAACAATGAATTTTAACCTTTTTTTTCTTTGAGTTTTCTAAATTGCAAGACTTTTAAGAGCAATAACAGTGAACGAAATACTTTTAAATCTTCATGTGAGGAATTTTTAAAATATTAATAGTGATTCAAAACCATTCCACAATTCTAACTACAGAAAAATAACAGTAACTATCAGTGTCTCTGCAAAGTGGAGGTGTGTTATTGATAACAGTAACAATCATTTTCTGTAAATTTCCAGAACAGAAGCATGGTATCAATGATATTAACAGTGTTTCTAAGGCTGCAGAAGGGAGGCAAGCTGCTAGTAACAGTGATTATCTGTTTTTTTTAGGGTTCATAATGAAGGCATGCTGCTAACACCAATTACTATCATTATCTCTGAGGATGCAGCTTGAAGACATGCTGCTGATAACAGTAACTTTGGGTGTCTCTGAGGGGGCCAGAATGAAGGCATGCTGCTAACACCACTTACTATTGGTGTCTTTAAGAATCCAGAATGGAGATATTCTGTTAGCAACAGTAACTATTAGTGTCTCTGAGAGTTCAATATTTGGGCATGCTGTAGTAACAGTAATTATTAGTATATCTGAGGGTTCAGAATGGAGGTGTACTGTTAAATAACAGTAGCTATTAGTGTCTCTGAGGATGTATTAAAGACAAAATGTTGATAACTGTAATTATCAGCGTACCTACAATATAAAACACAGGTATGGTGTTAATAACACAAACTATCAGTCATCCAAGTCTAGAAGGGAGTTTTAACAGTAACTGACATTAATATACCAGAATTGCAGCATGATGTCAATACAGAAACTCCAAAAAGGATAAGTAGAGCCATGACTTCATTATGAGCCACTCTTGCCCCCCCCTCCAGTGGATTGGTGATAAGTTTCTGGAATTACAATGTCAAAATCTGGGATTTGATTCTCTGTGATTGACAAAGCACAGAATAGCCTACTGTGAAGCATTGTCTGAGTGAAAGAAACAAACCAACAGAACCATTCTCAACCTTTTTACTGCGATTCAAGAAATGCTCAAGTCACAACTCTAATAGCAGAAACTGTCACAGAGATGCTAAGTACCCAGAATTAAGAAAGTTATGACCACAATAAAAGAAGCTTACAAAAATTGCTAAATTTCCAAACTAAAGAAAAACATTACCATAATAATAGCAAACTCTCAAATTATTACTAACTTTACAAAGTTCAGGAAGACATGACAGCAAATTTCAAAGTGTTGTTATGACCTGGAGAATAAAGAAAGTCATCTCTATATTAGTAGCAAAGTCTCAAACTATTGCTAAGTTTATAAAGTCCAGGAAGACATGACTGCAAATTACAAAGTGTTGTTATGACCTGGAGAATAAAGAAAGTCATCTCTATATTAGCAGCAAACTCTCAAACTATTGCTAAGTTTATAAAGTTCAGGAAGACATGACAGCAACTTACAAAGTGTTGCTATAACCTGGAGAATAAAGAAAGTCATCTCTATATTAGCAGCAAACTCTCAAACTAACTGAGGTTTCTATTATGGGAAGACTTGTAAGAGTAAACTCCACTTACCATCTAGAAGGTTCGTGTGAGGATAAGTTGACGAAGAAACACTGCAGTAGTTGGGATGACATAAAGTCCAATCCTGTACAGTATTCAGTAAAGGATAGAGACCTAAAATCAACAATAACACTTGCAATAACTTTTAGTTTTTAGTCTTCTTTCAACTAATCACTAATGACAATTTCTTATATAAATGTATACAGTACTGGAAAGAATTATGAAAGTACACACGTGAAACACATATAGAAGTCACAAACAATGAGTAATTACTACTAAGCAGTCAAAGCAATAGAATGTTACAGAAAAGAAAAAAGAAAAGTATATAACTTATACAGTGCACTAATATTTTGTATTTATTTTAAGAGGAGCATTACAATTTGTTTTTATGCTATTATAAGTTTTTCAATGACGAATTTTAAAATATTTTACAGAACTTCCTATACGATGAATAACTTACAATTCAGCCAAATTATTTGGCTACTGTTTGATCTTCTCAGCTTCCATATATGCCCATATAGGCTTAATAATATTGACAAATGTTAAAAAATTTTAAATAAAAAAATAGGAAGTATGAATGGAAGCACCAAAAAGTGAGGAAACAAAGTAGGAAATTTTTACACTTGTCTCATAGGTTTTGGTACAAAGTCTTGAGAATGACTGGGCTCTAGGCCTATCCTTCTCGTAGCTTTTCTTGGTGTTAAGTCTCGAAAGTGACTGAACTCTAGGCCTGTCCTTTTCGTAGCTTTTCTTAGAGCAATCTCACGACGTTTCCTGGCTTTTTCTGATATCTTTGTTAGAGTTTTTCTTCCATCTAGCCAGTGTGACAGCCTTTTCTTTGGCTGGATTAATGGCTAAGGCTTGTTTCACACATTCATCATTACTGTTTCTAACCTTATTTCTATTCTTGGGATAATGATCTCTTTGCTGGGACAAATACTTTTCAAGGATATCAACATTAGGTTTTCTTCTTTTCTCTCGTTTTATTTCCTTGAAAGGAATATTTTGAAAATCGCAATGTTTCAACTATAATCCTTAATGTCAATAGGTCAAACTTAGTTTGCAAACAATGCAAATGTAAATTATGTAACTTATCATTCTTATTTTCTATCCAGAGTGCTCTAACAAGGGTGTATTAAACTTCGGCAGTGGTAGTGTTCGTCCTCACGTCTTAGGCACCGACTTCTATGATAGAATTTCTTTGTCCAACACAGAACCCTCGAGTAAGATGTAAAGAACTGAAAACTTTGCTTTCAAAGGTTAGATAATAGTTAGAACCTAGATCTAGAGAATCTACTTAGTCCACGTTTTTTTTATCCAGCAGATACAGCTGCAGGCTGATCACGTAGTGCATACGTATAAGCAATCATGCAGCCACACGTGGTATGAGGGCGGGTTGTTACTTGGCAACTCACAGAGCGTGCTCGTAATCATAGAATATGGCTACTAGTGTGTTGTTAGTTTGTTAGTAGTATTGCAAAATGGTTATTGTTATTACTTATTATTACCAAATTTATAAGTAAAACTGAGAAAAAAGTTTTTAGCCAAGGTAATGTAATTCAATCATGTACATTTAGATTTGCATAAGGTGAAGGCAGGAGAGAGTTATGCCTTTCCAACGACGCTAGTCAGTCAGATAGTTATATTGACAAATTTGGTGGCTTGTTACTTTGCAGTTAGTTTGTTTACTACTCAACAGTGTGTGTAAAGTGTTTATAAAGGTTTATGTACATGCTGTGTGCAGTGTGTTTGAGATTTTAATTTGTATTGCACATCTGGCTCATTCCTACTATAAGTACCACCGTACTTACGATATTGGTACTTTGTGAAGTCCAATCCTTGACTGAATGTGTTTCATCGGCCTCTTTTTCCTCCCAAGTGTCCTTTCATGGCATTGACACATGCTTGGGTTCACTGTCTTGGTAAAAAATGAATCCCTGCCCAACAGTCTTGTTCTGCAGCTACCTGTCAGCAGTCAGGGTGTCATCAATTTTGTGCATACCTACAACACCATTGGCTTAGATGCAGTTTATATTTGTACTGGTTCTTCAGCATGCTTCACTGTAGATGTACACTGACCTTTTAATTTTGTCAAACTATTTGAATTTGGATTCACTTGTAAGTAGCACCATTTTCCAGATTTGCTCAACCCATTGTTTGAAGTGTGATGCCCATTTCAGTTTTTTGGTTTGATTATTTCTCCTCACCAGTGTCTTTTAGGCAGCTATACATCCATTGAGGCCACTTTGTGCTAACGTGTGTCTTACTGTTCTGGAGTTAACATTCATACCTGTACCTACAGCTAGGTCATTGACAAGATCTCTACTGAATTGTCAGTATTACCAATAGAGTTGCTTACGATAAATTTAGAATAGTTTAGGCTCTATATTATCAACAGTACTAGTTTCATGTATTATCTTCAGAGTATTCATACATCGTTTACTAAACCATGAGGTAGTCACGTGGAGTAGCCTTCGTTAAGGCTTGGTATTTCTCTTTTGGGAGTCATGAGTGCATACACCAACTTTACTAATTGTAATAGTATGACTGACTGTACTAATACAGACATTATGCTGGTGTGGCACTGCCTGATTTGTTGGATGGTAGTCAATCATAAAGTAAGCTGTTAATTAATACATGACTGTACCACAATAATAATATCATTGTATGCACTGTTTCCATTATTACTTCCAACACGGTATACAATTACATTAAAAATTTTACATTCTTATAAAACAATAAATTTCTATTTTGACAAAGTCAATGAAAGAATGAGAGGTAAATGTAGAAACATCTGACAAATAATAGTCTCTTATATATGTAAACTAACCTTGTTCATTTGCTGAAATTATGTCAAGGTATTTGGGTTTTAGTTTTGGTTTATCCTTCCACTCTGAAACACAAACAAGCGAGTTTTATGTTGATTATTATACAAAAAGGGTTAATAGCACACATACCTAAATGATGCTTATGAATAAAATTATTGCTCAAATGAATATAATATCGATTCATTGTTGTTAAACTTAAACATTCTCGACTATATACTATTCTACCCATTGGAACTTATTTTTATTCTTTTATATATATATATAAACGACAAAATTTATAATTTAATGCTTGAGGGGATCAAACTTGGCTCCTTTCCATAAGCCAATCAATGTCATTACTAAAACGATTTGGCTAAAATAATACTGTTATAATATAGTTTTATATATATTCATTAAAACTATTCTGATCAACGTCCTTAGATTGAGAAGATAACTAACTATACTTACCATTAAAACTATTCTGATCAACGTCCTTAGATTGAGAAGATAACTAACTATACCTACCATTAAAAACTATTTTGATCAACGTCCTTAGACTGACAAAATAACTAACTATACTTACCATTAAAAACTATTCTGATCAACGTCCTTAGATTGAGAAGATAACTAACTATACTTACCATTAAAACTATTCTGATCAACGTCCTTAGATTGAGAAGATAACCAACTATACCTACCATTAAAACTATTCTGATCAACGTCCTTAGACTGACAAAATAACTAACTATACTTACCATTAAAACTATTCTGATCAACGTCCTTAGATTGAGAAGATAACTAACTATACCTACCATTAAAAACTATTTTGATCAACGTCCTTAGACTGACAAAATAACTAACTATACTTACCATTAAAAACTATTCTGATCAACGTCCTTAGATTGAGAAGATAACTAACTATACTTACCATTAAAACTATTCTGATCAACGTCCTTAGATTGACAAAATAACTAACTATACTTACCATTAAAAAGTTTAAAGAAGCGATCTGTTTTGTTTGCAGGATAATTTCCCAAAATTGTTTCGGGAGTCTGAAAAAAATCAAATATAATTCTTTGATATTTGAAAACTGTATATCAGAGCTGTTTAAAATGTTCAAAAATTCATACAAGTAAAACCTATAGAGTTCACACATATTAGGTTAGACTAATAAACCTGGTGTAAGCTGGTTCATAAGTTTGAAATTAGTTAACATTTTATCTGAAAGAAGAAACTTAGATTTTGGACCATTAGATGATGCTTTCGTCACTTTTTAAAAACTTTTCTTTTAAGTATCTGTTCCTAATTTCTGGCCTGGCATGGCTTTGGCGCTCGACTTGCAATCTGAGGGTCGCCCCACCAAAGATACTCGCCCTTTCAGCAGTGGGGGCGTTATAATGTGACGGTCAATCCTACTATTCGTTGGTAAAAGAGTAGCCCAAGAGTTGGCGGTGGGTGGTGATGATCAGCTGCCTTCCCTCTAGTCTTTCACTGCTAAATTAGGGACGGCTAGTGCAGATAGCGCTCGTGTAGCTTTGCGCAAAATTCAAAACAAACAAAGTATCCTAATTTCTATATATTTGTGTTTTTAATTCCGCGTTAGTTTTTTATTAGCGTATATCCAATTCTTGAAAGCGAATAATTAAACTTGCAGACTTAAGATAAAATTCTCGGCTTAGGTTAACAGACTGAAAATTTTATGTTATTACTTTTTGCACACGAGGGCTATCTGTGCTAGCCGTCCCTAATTTAGCACTGTAAGTCTAGAAGGAAGGCAGCTAGTCATCACCACCAACCGCCAACTCTTGAGCTACTCTTTTACCAACGAATAGTGGGATTGACCGTCACATTATAACGCCCCCACAGCTGAAAGGGCGAGCATGTTTGGTGGGAAGGGGATTCGAACCCGCAGATTCCGAGTCGAGCGCCCTAACCACCTGGCCATGCTGGGCCGTGTTATGGAGAAAGAAATAATAACATAACAATCCCTATTCGTTACATTAGACAAATAATAACATAACAATCCTCATTCGTTACATTAGACAAATAATAACATAACAATCCCTATTCGTTACATTAGACAAATAATAACATAACAACCCTCATTCGTTACATTAGACAAATAATAACATAACAATCCCTATTCGTTACATTAAACAAATAATAACACAACAACCCTCATTCGTTACATTAGACAAATAATAACATAACAATCCCTATTCGTTACATTAGACAAATAATAACCCTCATTCGTTACATTAGACAAATAATAACATAACAACCCTCATTCGTTACATTAGACAAATAATAACATAACAACCCTCATTCGTTACATTAGACAAATAATAACATAACAATCCCTATTCGTTACATTAGACAAATAATAACATAACAACACTCATTCGTTACATTAGACAAATAATAACATAACAATCCCTATTCGTTACATTAGACAAATAATAACATAACAACCCTCATTCGTTACATTAGACAAATAATAACATAACAATCCCTATTCGTTACATTAGACAAATAATAACATAACAACCCTCATTCGTGACATTAGACAAATAATAACATAACAATCCCTATTCGTCACATTAGACAAATAATAACACAACCCTCATTCGTTACATTAGACAAATAATAACATAGCAATCCCTATTCGTTACATTAGACAAATAATAACATAATAACCCTCATTCTTTACATTAGACAAATAATAACATAACAATCCCTATTCGTTACATTAGACAAATTTTCTCCCACATTTTGATGAAGTGATTAAGAAAAAAAAAAACTTAAGTAGGTAAGACAGTGGTGAATATTACCTCATGTTTATTGTTTTGTACTTCTGGGTCGCCGCCATATTGTATGAGGAGGACTGTGACGTCATACCTTTTTTTTGTAAAAAAACAAAAAAGACAAGTAAAAACATGAGTAGGACTATAAAGTAATATTTTTATGCAAAAACAACAACAAACTAATAAATATAACATGAAACATTTAAAAAACAATAACATGAGAAGGACGGTAAAGTCTTACGTTTACATTATAATAAAAACATGATTAGGACTCTAAAATCTTATATTTATGTGAAAATTACGAAAACAAATGGGTAGGAATGCTAAGGGAAAGAAGAATTAGAGATTAGCATACAAGAATAACCTAGTGTTTTGTCTTCCCATACATAAATATAGTCACATCACGTGTGTTTTTGTCTAAAAGTTAGTTAATCAAATCACAAGATTATCTAACTTATTTGTGTTCCTGCAAGTCAGCTTTATCTGAACGCCTATCTATTTATGAACATATATATCGGTAAAACACTGACGATATTGTACAAGGCTAAACACTAGACAAACTTTGAGACTGAATAATTGCGTGATAATAACATGTGTTTAGGCCTAGTAATGCAAACGCTACATTTGTTTCTTATCCAGAGCTTTTGTTTGTTTGTTTGTAATTAAGCATAAAGCTACACAATGGGCTATCTGTGCTCTGCCCACCACGGGTATACAAAAACGCGGATTCTAGCGTTGTAAGTCCGCAGACATACCGCTGTACCACTGGGGGGGGGGGGGTCATTCAGAGTTCGTGCTCACTAAGCATTGTTGATGTTAGAGATGTATTTGGAATATTTGTAGGGACTACATTTTCGCTTAACAAGACAGACGTAGTTGTTAAACACTTCTTAAACGCTTGAAAATAAAAACACTTAACATTTACGAATACAGTAAGAAACGACTATTTAATATTCAGGTTATAAGGACCCAGTTCCCAAAACTTAATCAGTAAATATCAAAAAAATGGAAAAAGTATTTTAATTTCAGTTTTGAAGCTTCGAATATACATGTTCCTTCATAAAGATGGTATGGCCAGGTAGTTAGGGCTTTTAACTCGCAATCTGAGGGTCTCGGGTTCGTATCCCCGTCCCTCCAAACCTGCTAGCCCTTTCAGCCTCGGGGGCGTTATAATGTGGCAGTCAATTCCACTATTCGTTTGTAAAATGAGTACCCCAAGAGTTTGCGGTGATGGCTAGCTGCTTTCCCTCTAGTCTTTTACTGCTAAATTAGGGGCGGCTAGCGCAGATAGCCCTCGTGTAGCTTTGCGCAAAAGTAAAAACCAAACCAAACAATCCTTCATAAAGGGATTTCTAAAGTTAAATATCTGCCATTCAGAAAGAGCTTTTTAACTTCAAGTATCCTTCAGAAAGATTTTTCTCACCTCAAGTATCTGCAAGCTTCATGAAAGCCCGACGTTCCAAGATCTGAATCCACGTGGCTAGGATTCATTCCATGATCCAACATTAATTGGACGACGTTCTTGTGGCCTCGAATACAAGCGTCCACAAAGGCACGGTTAGCTTTTCGGAAAGAAGGCTCATAGTCTAACAACAAAGCAACAGCATCTGGAATAATTACAGAAGGAGAACAATGGTTCAGAACATTCACACTGTTGTGTGCTTACCCACAGATCATGTTTTGTACAGTGAGAGAATGATAATGATTTATAACTTCTTTAACAGTACATACTGTTGACTACACCCAATTCGTAAACCTATTGCAACTTCTAACTGGAAGTCATGCCCAATCTATACATTGCAAGATGTCCTTCCACAGGGTCCCTGAAAGTGTTCTGTTTCAAGTGTAAATAAAACCAAAATTAAGAGTAACAAATATTTTTATTTTTCCTTCTGAAGTTCATATGTCATGCTATGTTGTAGCCTATAGAGTGCATAATTCTTCTCGTGATTCATGGCATGCGCACATTTTACGGACGTAACAACGGTACAAATTGCAAAAGTTAAGCGTCCTTTACGTGACGTCATTTTAGTGCCTACTGATTAACTGACAGACAACACACTATTGTAAAGTGGTGCAAGTGGTTAAAACCGGCGACCCCCTTCAAGGGAAACAAACCTGAGCTATGGTGAGCTGTAAACATTACAGATATAAACAGAAAAATTATAATAATTCAAAATAAATTTTAAGTTCTAGAAACATATTTAGTGGATTATTTTCCTTGACGTATGTTCAGTTAGATAATCTGGGGCTATCAGGGATATAGTAATTATCAGTATCACAAAGTTTGAAAAGCGTTTGTCTTAAAAAGTATAGTTTTTCTGTTGAGCGTAACATGACTGAAACACAATTATTTCAAAAAAGCATAAATATTACAAAACGTTCAAACAATCTCGTTTATCGAGTGACGAGAAACTCACCAATTCTATTGTACTGAGCTGCTATGTCAAAGGGTGTTTGTCCTTCTTTATTTTCCAGTAGAACATCGGGTATGGCCTATACAATACACACAAAAATATTAAGATCCCGATCAGGATGTTTATTTGTTACAAATTTGGCAATTTGCCAAAACAAACTTTTATGTTTTCCTTCATTCTGTTCTTCAGGTTTTCTTCTAAATTACATGCAATAGTTTCAAGTGCAGCTTAAGATTTATGTTTTAACAACATAGCTGCTATATAAACGAAATAAAATGGAAAATATTCTGTACATTCAAAACATAGTATGCAAATGTATTTATTCTTATGATTTAGAATAAAATACAAATGAAATGCTGTTCTTTTTTATCTGAAACATGTTAAAATTACGATACTGTCATGATTAGAGTACTTATTGTGGTATAGACTATGTTTTTGTTGTTGTTGGCCAGAGGGAGTTTTGACGTCAGGTAATGAGTACGTGGCTTAATGATTGAATCATTCTTAAAAGTTTATGAAACAGTTTGAGAAGAATCTAAAAGCGAGTTAGGCTAGGTTAAATTACATTTCTTTGCGAGTCTCTTGTTGCAGAGTGATATTGTTTATTGAGTCAGCGGATTTGTCAGTTGGTTTGTCTGTAGCTTTGAGGTAGTTCAGTTTTGTGAGTACTGAGTTTTTGTTTCAATGAAGTACTACAGATACGAGAAATAGAATATGTATCAAGAACTAGCAAGCAAATGAAAGTGTTGTATTAATGTTTACCGTGGACTTAAGCGTGTTAATATCAGTGAAAATTAGTCGAAGAAATAAAACAATTTGGTGATCATTAAGTTAACTGGACTTTGTATTATCATTATTGGCGATCAATCTAAGAGAACCTGCCCAATAATAGAAACCGTTACAGCATTAGTGTTAGGAGTTGGATAATTTTGATAAAAAATAATATAGAATCCAGATCGAACTTCCAGATAAAATGTATTCGAAGTGAGATCAGACATATGCTGAAAATAATGAAATAATAGAGAAGAGAGAAAAAAGAAAGACAGAAAATTAAAAGACCAAAACGAAAAAGACGAAATTAAAAGAAAATCAAGAAGAAAAAAGACTCAATAAGTTAAAAGAAGAGCACAAAGAAAAGGACAGGAAGTTAGAAATTAAATTGCAAGAACAATAAATAAGATTTACAGAAAAATAATGAACAATAATCAGTTTAGTCAAAGACAATAATGAAAAAGTCATAGCTTAGTCAAATTCAAGTCATAGAAAATGTACAGACTGGGATCCACAAAGCTGTAATAGATGGACAAAAAGATTATAACAATAAAATCAAAGAAGTATAAAAGGACGTCAGTGGCAGAATAAAACACCTAGAAGGTGAACTGGCAAATTCAAGGATCAAACCAGGCCAGTTTAACAATTATGCCCAATGAAGAAATCAGTAGATTATGATAGAAATGTGCCTTGAGAGACATATTAGGTGCAGTTTAAAACAATTTCCAAGCTGAGTGGAAGGAGTAGTGAATAACAAGCTATCCATCTTGCTACATGTTTAAAAGGACCAGTATCCGACAGTGAGCCATAACAACTACCAGTCATTAATAGCCACTTTATCAAACAGATTTGGAATGTCACAAGTTTATAAGCGGAGGAAAGAGGATAACTTAGCTAAACTTACAAAAGACATGGAAAGATTCGATCATTGATCTTATCAAGATGGATTCGTTGGCATGCGACCAATTCATAGATGACATAGTGGATGATATTATGTGAATTAGACTAAAGCAAAGTAGGTGCATAAACTTTTCGGTTGGAAATGGAAATTGAATCAGTTGGAAATGCAGATAAATTAATGACACCATCTAAGAATTCTGAGAGTATCATATCAAACAGTGTAGTAACATCAACTCTCTGTGTGATAGAGGTCTAGAAGAGCTCAAATGAGTAATTATCCAACTGTTCACTATGTGTGGAAAAAAGTAAAACCCTGGATAGAAGATGTTCAATTGCACGTTAAAAGGGACTGTAGACGTAAGCTTTACGAAATAAACACTGCTGCTAAATGATGAAAGGAAATTACTACAAGTGTGGAAAACACGGACATTATATCGGAGACTGTAATGAATCAACTGTTGACAATAAACCAAAGAGACGATATCCGGAGGATGAAAGTACTTCATCTGCTCAATTTAATATAATGATTACATTATTTAAAGAAACCAGCACATGAGTCATATTAGGAAACGCTTTAACATGTTGGTTGGTACCTAATTCTCAGCTACCATTATTCGACCTGATCTGGAAATGGCCTCCAGAGAGTGCAAGAAGGTGGATTGATAAAACAGCAAATGGACATAATTTTCTAGCAAGAGGAAAGTGGGAGATACTTTCACTGTGAAAGTTTATTACAAATACAACATTTAAGAAATTGACACAGAGAAAGAGTGCATACAGGGAATATACTCAATGTGAAAACAAACGCGTGATGTTAGACTAGCTTCAAACAGTCTCAAAGACTATGACCAGAAAATCACAGTTACACAACCATGGGTTGGACTTCCAATAAATACAGGGGTGGAAGTCCAAGGTAATGAAGACATTCAACCTTAAGTGCAACAGAGAAGAATCCAGAGAAACAGGTGGTCTAAACCAAAGTTCAGCCAATGTAATAGTCTTTAAAGGTACATTGGCAGGAGAACAGCCAACTAATTAGCTTTAGAGACAACTTTGCCAGAGAGAGGTTAGCCTGATGAAAGGCCCAAGGTTTCTGTCGAGAACACTTCCTGAGTATCACTATGGATGAAGCCACTAATGGATTCGCTCGACTACCTGATGACAAGATAACAAGTGTTGAAAAAAACACAAGTGGTAATCCAATCTTCGTACCATAAGCAACAGAAAAGAAAACCACACACACACACACAAACACACAAAAGATTTAGTAACTGGAAAGTATACGAGTAAAGAAATAACATTTTGTTTTATTCTACTTTGTTTTTCACATTTCATTGATGATTGCAATGTTTAGATTTATAAATTACTGTTGTTAACTGCAAACATTTACTTTATGGAAGTTTAGGTTTAATACACCACTGTTTTCTTTGTTTAATATGATTATTTACGAGACTTCACAATCCAGTGTTGTAAGTTACGCTTTTTATCTAGAAATTTGTATTGTTGATGGCCAGAGGGAGTTTTTACATTAATTGGGTTAATAACTTACTTTAACGCTCACACAGTATAAACTAATTAATACTCTCGTATTAAATGAACAGTCGTGTATATCTAAAAACCTCAGACCGACAATCAACTTCATGGTTAAATGTTGTCAGCATCAGTTAGATATCACAGCCGACAATCAACTCCGTGATGAAATGTTGTCAACATCAGTTAAATATAACAAATAATCAACTTCTTAGTGAAACAAACGGTTAAAAGTTTACGATAAAAGTAAAAGTAATTAATCTCGACAAATTATTTTGGAACTTTTTTCACGAAAACTTTGCATGACTTGTTCTAAATCTAAATTTGACAATCAAAGCAAAGGCACGTACTCTTAACAACTTCAATAGAACGAATTTAATTCCATCGGTACAGTTTTGACAGGCAATATGCATCGGGGTGTTTTTGTCCTGATTAATGGTATCCAGCTGGAAAAGAATTTAGCAGATTATTATGACAATATATTTTTAAATCAATCAAAATTTATATTACTATGTGAAGTGTGAAAATATAGTTTCAATACTAAATCAACTCAAGTTATAAACGAAATCTGGATAACAAATTTTAATTGTAAAAGTTTTAAATTGTATGTTAAAACGTTTTTGCTTGCCATTTTTAAATTACCATGAAGAACAAAAAAAAAAAGCAATTCGTAATATTACCTTCTGGTGTTTTAAAACTCGATTTCAAATCTAAACAATTAAATATTTAAATAAACAGTATTTAAAACGAAAACATAAAAATCATATTTGCTAAAAAGGTCGCCAAACATTTTGAAACGTAGAATTTCTCGCTTAGATCTCGCTTCAACGAGACAGCAAATGTTTCGTTTTAGGTGACTGCTTTTTGGTAAGGTTTCACTTATAGGAGATGAATTGTTTTTAGGATATTTTGGATTCTTACTTAAAACAACATTTCACTTGTTTTGATACTAAGAACATTTGAAATTATTTTAGACAGGATTAGAGTAAATTAATCTATGAGACCTTCCCCCCCCCCTTTTATTAGCTATATTTTTGTGTGCCAGCAATACTAAGCATGGGACGCTCGTATACCCGATTCGATTTTATTACTCATCAGTATCTCTACCAGCCTACCCTCAAATTGAAATTCTTTAAAGCAGGATTTGAATAAATTAATCTATGAGACCTTGGGCGTGATCAAATACATCAATCAAAAGGGGTTTTACCTCCTGAGTCCAAAACTGTAATTAGATCTTAAATCAGTCAAGAGATGATGGAGCTGTGAGCTAAAAAGTTTGTTTTTAGAAAAAC